ACAGGCGCGTAGCGTGGTCTTTTTGGCTAATACGCATATGGCCGGAACCGCGACACATATTTTGGATTGGGTGGGCTAACCACCTCCGACTTAGGCGGGATTATTAAGGGAGTCAGGGGGTCCTCCCCCAGGAAATTTTGAAATAATAACTATTGGAGATGCGATTTTCAACGTTTTGAGAGGCATCGAGAGCATATAAAAGGCATCAAATCCCGAAAATTTTAATATTTCCTTCCCACTATCTAGTACGCACGTGCGTATATGCGTAAAGGACTCTTTGACTACGTACATGAGAAAGTAATGATCAGAGCATTCTGATACGCTCTTTAAAACATTATCGAGAGAAAGCAAAGGAGAGCCAACATTTAGTAATTCATTGTGAGTCTTCCTGCTTTCTGATAACAGGATCTGCAACTATCAAACAACTGACTACAACGGCGCGGAACTTTTTTTCTGCAACGTCTAAGATTCTATATACCGTATTTTGACTATTATATGCGACTAAAAATAGACAAAACAAGGCACATTAAAACCAAGAATGTGGAAATAATTAATCAATTTCTTATAATTAAACCTTCTTTTGAGTAAAGATCAGGTTTAGATTACGACAAGCAAATGATTGACTATTCTCACCTTTTTCATACACCATCTCGATCATCTTAACTTTCCTGGCGCCATAGTCCAGAGCAATCTGCTGCCGTTGTGTTTGTTATTGGGTTACGACAGACGCGGTCACGGGTATTGAGTGGCAGGACATTTGCACCACCAACTCCACTGACTCCATATGCAATCAGATTATAGTCAAAGTGCACACGACACGTTTTTTTAATAGCCTCCTTCACGGTTCCCCGCGCCATCTTGAAAGGTAGCCGTGCCTTTGCATCCAAGCGAGACAACCGTGCAATSATAGACACCTGTGAATAATTGTCTGTAGGTTTGAAAGAAGGTTTTTATCATTGCACACTCAACTTTTGTCTCGCTTCGATCCAAAGGCACGGCCACCTTTCAAGATGGCGCAGGGAACCGTGAAGTAGACTTGTTACAAGGGTCTTTTATGAGCTTGTAAACTGTGGGATTTACTCGGTAAGAGCCKGTACTTGGATCAAATGTTTTTAATAGAACACCAAAGCTTTTCCTTACACTTTGCTTGTAGCTTCAACTCTGAGMTATACAATTACATCTGACTTTTTATAGTGCATATTTTTACAAGTGCATAWTGACAGTTATTGGCAAACTATATTGAAGTATGATTGGCTAAGAMGTACTTTTGATGGATAACTAATAAYATGTTTAACTTGGGTAGAATGCGAAAATGCTACGCCCCWAGGTAGTTTTAAGTTGAATTCMGATATAAAATTAAGACTGAAGGTAGCTCTAATAAAGGACTAACTTTCTACAAAGTTATATTGAAYAAATATTCAATATAATGAAGTTACAAGGTTTTGAACGAGCGATGGGCGACAGGGCGTCGCTCGAGGTGTACTCTTTCGTAGGAGGGGTTTAGCTGAATTTAGCGGTAACATTACAACGATGCAAGTTGCATGCAAGCATCCTACAAAATTAGATGGGAAATCCAGATTATATTTACTRTAGAAATAAACAAGTACCTTGTAATCTCATTATGTTGTCAATTTATGCTTTTATCAGAAAGCTTAATGAAAGTTGGACATTATCGAAAGATCTAGCAAGTGAAACCTAAGATAGTCGCAAGTCGCAACTAGTGTTTGAACATAGCTAAAGTTCATATATAATCCAAGCAAACTAATGTGGAAAACCTATAAGATAATAACCTAAGTTATTTGGAAAAGGATGTCTTAAAATGCTATGCGAACTTTGAAACANAGATTCTATATACCGTATTTTGACTATTATATGCGACTAAAAATAGACAAAACAAGGCACATTAAAACCAAGAATGTGGAAATAATTAATCAATTTCTTATAATTAAACCTTCTTTTGAGTAAAGATCAGGTTTAGATTACGACAAGCAAATGATTGACTATTCTCACCTTTTTCATACACCATCTCGATCATCTTAACTTTCCTGGCGCCATAGTCCAGAGCAATCTGCTGCCGTTGTGTTTGTTATTGGGTTACGACAGACGCGGTCACGGGTATTGAGTGGCAGGACATTTGCACCACCAACTCCACTGACTCCATATGCAATCAGATTATAGTCAAAGTGCACACGACACGTTTTTTTAATAGCCTCCTTCACGGTTCCCCGCGCCATCTTGAAAGGTAGCCGTGCCTTTGCATCCAAGCGAGACAACCGTGCAATSATAGACACCTGTGAATAATTGTCTGTAGGTTTGAAAGAAGGTTTTTATCATTGCACACTCAACTTTTGTCTCGCTTCGATCCAAAGGCACGGCCACCTTTCAAGATGGCGCAGGGAACCGTGAAGTAGACTTGTTACAAGGGTCTTTTATGAGCTTGTAAACTGTGGGATTTACTCGGTAAGAGCCKGTACTTGGATCAAATGTTTTTAATAGAACACCAAAGCTTTTCCTTACACTTTGCTTGTAGCTTCAACTCTGAGMTATACAATTACATCTGACTTTTTATAGTGCATATTTTTACAAGTGCATAWTGACAGTTATTGGCAAACTATATTGAAGTATGATTGGCTAAGAMGTACTTTTGATGGATAACTAATAAYATGTTTAACTTGGGTAGAATGCGAAAATGCTACGCCCCWAGGTAGTTTTAAGTTGAATTCMGATATAAAATTAAGACTGAAGGTAGCTCTAATAAAGGACTAACTTTCTACAAAGTTATATTGAAYAAATATTCAATATAATGAAGTTACAAGGTTTTGAACGAGCGATGGGCGACAGGGCGTCGCTCGAGGTGTACTCTTTCGTAGGAGGGGTTTAGCTGAATTTAGCGGTAACATTACAACGATGCAAGTTGCATGCAAGCATCCTACAAAATTAGATGGGAAATCCAGATTATATTTACTRTAGAAATAAACAAGTACCTTGTAATCTCATTATGTTGTCAATTTATGCTTTTATCAGAAAGCTTAATGAAAGTTGGACATTATCGAAAGATCTAGCAAGTGAAACCTAAGATAGTCGCAAGTCGCAACTAGTGTTTGAACATAGCTAAAGTTCATATATAATCCAAGCAAACTAATGTGGAAAACCTATAAGATRATAACCTAAGTTATTTGGAAAAGGATGWCTTAAAATGCTATGCGAACTTTGAAACAGCTAACAAAGACGTATTTTATGAAATAGATATTTTATCTATGACATAATCATGATTATGTCAAAAAGAAGTGTTTGTTTAACTAATGCAAGGCACAGGTAGAAATAAACGATAACCAGATGACTAGCTTACTAGAACATTYTAGAACACTGTGGAATTCTAGACATAACTCTAAAAATAGAAATATGGAATATTCCCCAGGGGGGAATCTAATTTTATGTGCTTAAAGAGGGGGGCAACGTCTACAATTAACTGGAACTTAAATAATTTTTGAAGTGGAAAACGTCTCGAGAAAAGCGAGCCATGAGCGACAACTAAATGCGGGAGGGGGCAGAGAGTAATATATTTCGTTTGCGAGGGTGGGTAGTAATTAACTTTCTGGCTCATATCTCAAAACCCCCTAACCCTAACCCCCCCTCCTGATAAATAATACGCAGTCCCTAAATTCATATATATATGTGCATAAAATATTGAGCTAAACGTTTTTAATAGGATCCATTGATTTATTGCTAACAGACTGCATGACCTGTTTCGTATGATTTGGCCCACACTCATCAGGCAATTTCCTATACCATTTCCGTTATAACGTCGCATTCTATAGTATCTATGTATTTTTCATATTGGAAGCTGTGACATATGAAATTCTAAGTAGCAATAGACTGGCGTTTTTATCAAGAAACTTTTATCTTAGGTAAAGCTCCAGTGTTTTCCATGTCATATAATGTTTCTTAATCATATACAGCCTTTTGCAAAAATTATGAGAATTGTTGAAATATCTAAATA